TTATAAATTGCCAATTGTGTTGTTTTTTTTTTTATCATTGTATTATAAACACCGTTGAAATAGGCCAATCCTATCATGTGCTATGTATAGTGTTATTCGTTACGGTGCCCTCTGTAAAACGCGAAGTGTGATATGATGAGTTCCACAAGCAATTCATTGAAACGAAACGCAATGAACCAATGAGTAGCCAGCTTTATTGAGCTTAGGCGATCGCAAAGCAAAAGCAATGAACTGTTTTAAAAGTATCGCGATTGCGGAAGGCAAGGTTCCAATAAGCCTGCAGCTGATTACTGGTGTCCCATTCAGGATAAACTTATTGTTCGTCAGTGCGATTCAAAATACCAAAATCCAGACTCGCTTAGTCATAATTTTATATTTATCGTAGCAGAATTGAGCGCAAACCAAGCGGAGGTTGCAGGCAAGCTGTCGTCCTGACAGTATTCGAACGCATGAATGCTTCGGTGTTTTTATGATGCGTCCGTAAGCATAGTATACCCTTGAGAGAAAAGTTTTATTTCCGTATTGACACTTACAAATTGCGTATGTATTTTTTTTAAGACTTCGTTATATAGGCACATTAATTACAACTGTAGATGATTCAGTGAAACAACTAGGCAAAGGAAAGATGGGGCAGAGTGTGGCAAGGGTTCAACTTGAGGATGGTCTCAGAAAATACAAAGCAGGGAACTACGAAGGCGCGATACGAAAATGGAAAAGTGTGCTCTCAAAAGTACGGAACAACAGCAATGGTCAATTTACTGTACTCGGTTACCTGGTGTGTGCGTTTTTTGAATGTGGAAATTATCGTGAGATGCTTAAGTGTGCGATCCAACAGTTTGACATTGCCGATAAATTAGACGTTTCTGAAATGAAAGCGGAGGCCTACCTCAACTTAGCTCGTAGCAATGAATGTCTTTGTGAGTATCATAAAGCGATTTCATACGCCCGGCATAGTTTATCAATAACCGTAACCCAGAAAGAAGGAAAAGTTTCCATAAAAGCGCAAACGCATCTCTGCCTAGCGGCTTCGTATCTGGGTTTTGGGGACTTCCAATCGTCGGTAAGCAACGCTAAATTGGCCCTCGAGCTTGCTAAAAAATCCGAGGAGAAAACATTGGAATGCAATGTGTACAGTGTTTTTGGCGATATATTTGCCTGCCTGAAAGATTATGAACAGTCGTTAAGCTATTACGTTCAGGCACACGAGCTGGTCAGGCGGTATGGCCAGAACTGGAGTCACAAAATACAAATGTGGACACTACTGGACTTGGCTGTACCTTACAGGAAACTGGTGCGATTGAACCAGGCAATGGATGCTTGTGAGGTAAGCATTCAGAGTTTTTCGTTTGGTAGTGGTTTTCGTTAGGGTATTACTGGACATTTCCATAATTGTTTGCATCAACACCATCATGGAGTGTGGTCCTCGATGACACAGGTGTTGATAAACTAATATTTTCAGAGTTCTAAAACAAAATAAAAAATTAGGCCAACTTACTATGCTTTTTTAACAGACATGAAAAAACATACACGTTGATACAATTTCCGGGGATAAAGATGATAAAGCCCATTTTGTGACCCCTTTCCTCACCCCAACTGCACACACACACACACACGCCACACACACACACACATACACACCATCTGAACCTTTTCAGTTCAAATTTGTAAATTAAATGGTGAAATTCTGTTGATAATGATGTTGCTTATTTAATGAGCCGTAAAGTATGAGAACCGATCTGCGATGTGGTGTGCTTGAGGAATGCGTGCCGCCTAGGGCAATCTTCATAGAAATACTAAATAGAGACATATTCATTAAAAAGCCTACGAATCATCTCGATTTTATTTCATACTCATATTATCATCAAGTAACTCAATTTCTCTTCCATAAATATAACCGTAATGTCCGTATTATTTTCAAATATTACGGCATAGTCCTACGAGGTAAAATCGTTCGCACTCGTTTCAAACACGTCGCTATATGTAAACGTTTGTAAACAACTTCACACATCTACTTACTTGGTACTTAACGTTGCTATAAATTGCAGCCTAATTGGGTTATAATGGCTTGAAATAGCCGAGCAATAACGACCAATAATGAATGCTATAATATGCCTATACATTCTTTTCATATCTGTATGTTTTTGTAATGACACTCAGAGAGCCATGAAAATATTAATGTACATAGAACT